CATAAATGAAATATACATCCATCCACACAAAACATGTTTATACAGTTAATAATGTATTAATAACACTCATTTTTACAAACATTAAAAATTTAATAGAAGGCCAGCACTCCATTCGACACACAGTACATTTTATGCCATGTATTAAAATATACGAACAAACGACGGTAGGATTTTCATATGCAACCGTACAAATGAACTCTCTAATTTTTGATTACATGAAGATATGAAGTAGTAAAAAAAATATACAACATTTTATTTTCTTCCGTAAACTGTTAACTAACAAGTTTAAATAACTATTCTTTTTTATTAAAAACAATTTTATTCGTTTTATTTTTTTCGTGCTCTATAATTTTAAAATACCCTTCTAGTCAGGTTGACTTTAATAATTATGACGTTAGAGATTTGATAAAAAAAAACGGACTGTCGGTTTACAAGCAATATTTCGAATGACACCAATAATAATAATAATATTAAAAACGATCCTCTTAGTATTTTCAAATGTATTTCATTTATTTACAAATGGCGTTGGTTGGTGAATTATAGCTATCTAAAAATTGAATCCGAATAACTCAACAAAAATTCTTTCCTAATACACGATAAAATATTATTTTCACCATCGGTTTAATATAATAATAATAATAATATTATTATTATACATAGTATATTATACTGTTGCATTCAATGTATCGTAACTGCAAATGGAATGTCTGTATGCCCGTAACGCCTTTGTCGTGTTTAATTCCATTGCGGCCGAAACAATTAAAACAAACGTACCGTATCGCACGAGGTCGGCGGCGGCGTTTATTGTTACTGTTATTGGTGTCCTCCCTCTGCGCACCGTCGATCAGCAGCCAGGGTCCTTTTTGGATTTCGATTAAATGCCGTAAATCGCGATTAGTGTCCGACCGACGCTCGTCTAGTTTTACGAGCCGTATATTAAACGACATATACATACGTGCGCACGTATTACACACATATAAACATACGTACACGTATATACGATTCTAAACCGATACGGGGAGTTTATTGTAAACTATTCCGGAGCAGTAAACGCTCCGGAGATCATCAATACCTGAATCGACTGTTTATTTTATTGTTACATTTTGTTTATCGAACGCTGGAAATTCCAAAATTATAAATCGTTTCAAAATGACGCTGTCAGTATTTCTCCGTTGATGACACGTTTTTATCAATCAAACACAAGACTCGTTTGAAAATGTGTCACGCACACACTCACCCTCGATATTCGGGGATATAAAAACGAATTTATTGTGAAGAATTCAATGTTCGAACAAAATTGTATTCCGTGTGTATGCGTTTAAACTCTCAGATCATATATAATATATATATCCTGAACGAACGTAGAAAATAATAAATTCGTTTTACATTGATGTTTTCTAACCTACTCTATTAAAAATGTGTAAGACTTACCATTTAAATTAATAAATCACACTTATTTTTTAACTAAACTGTAATAACCAATTTTTATCACTATTTCATGTTTAAGTTATAACGTATTTGATTATATTTTAAAAATTAAGACATTTTATCTTGTGACCCGCTATATTTTTGATTTTAGAATTTAAAAAGTGAATATTTAGTACTTATACTGTAAGAAAAATTAACTATATTATACACAAAACGTTTATAATCATCTTAACTGGTATACGAAGGTAGGATTTATTTTAAAATGTACACTAATATAGATGCCACCAGAAATTTTTTCAAGAAGTACATATACATGATATACATAACATATATTATGTATAAGTATATACACTGATTTCTAAATAATGATTAAATTATTTAAATTAAATACGTTTTTACCAAATTATATGACAATACAAATTAATTTTTATTTTTTTCGGCGGCAACAAAGTAATTAAGGCTACTAAAAAATTATATAATAATAATAATAATAACCTCTATCTTACATTTTTAAATACAGGGGGGGAGCAAGTGCACCCCCTTACCACCCTTTCACGGTGCTCATGTACACTAACAATATTGTATTACAAATACTAAAAATGTTGATACAAAAATTATAAAATTTCGATCAGCTGAATATTTCCCAATTTCATAGCTTCCTCTACTTTACATTTTACTCTCAATCCCATCCCAAAAAAAAAACAAAAAAAATCATTACTATTGTTCATAAATGAATCAGATATAATACTCACTTAATAATGCGGAAAACCTCATAGTAATCTCACAATACTGAGCCCCAATATTTATTCTTTTTTTTCAATGGGATTTTTCAATATGGAAAATCAGGTCGTAATGGTTTATGGTCAGATCATAAAACCGGGTCGGAATTCCTAAAAAATAACGAGGTTTTGTGTCCTGTTTATTGCAGAACAGGGTGCTATTATCGCAACGGGGTGGTCAATTTGAACGTTATGCAAACGCGTGCTCAATGAGCGGAAACGCCGAAGTCCGACCCCATTCTCCGCTCAGAGGTGACGTAGCTTCCTGACTAAAAATGATAAACCTTCGAAAAGGACGATATCCACTAGTGGGCGAACAACGCTCGGTACCGGAACTACGGTGACAAACGACCGATCTAAGCCACTAAACACTTCACGGTGCATATTCATAATACTTTTATTGGCAGGGCGTTCTTTTACTCCCCAACGGCACTAAAAGTTACTGCTCACATTGTGATTAATCCGGCCATAATTTTCGACAATAATATCAATACAGGCAGGACGTGTTATGTTTTTTTTTTCATCAACTTAAATTTAATAATTTAAGTAAGTAAATTAAGTAATCTTCGTTTTGAATAGTAAAGCTAAAAATAAAAATAAAACAACTTATAAAACTAGTAAAAAATTATAAATGCCTTAACAATTTTATTTTAAATACTCAGTAAGTGCTTTGAGTCACTATGATTAATAAATTATTAATAATTATAGAAAAAGAACCAAATAACCAAGATCGTACAATTGAAATTCGTTGAATATATTGTATAGAATACAGGCTATAGTGACTTTAGTTGTTACATTTTACTTGTACATAGCTACGTAGATAATAAGTAATCACAATCAATCATACGTTGATATAATATAGCAAGTGCAACAATATTATATTGTTATCAGACACCTAGTCATCATCTTGGGTACAAATTTTTGAGATAACTGTACCTTATGGGGTAAATAAATAACAAGCATACAACCCATAACAGGTACTCGAATTTTTTTAAATCAGATAATACGCGTAAACCAGGGTACACAGGTATCAAAAGCACAAGTGGATACCAAAATTCGGGATAGTCGAATTGCACTTATTACCTACAAATAAATGGACAAATTGCACTTGGATTGAAAAAAGGTAATGGTCAAACTGCACTCCAGTAAAAAGCAGGTAGTGGTCGAACTGCACTCGTTTAAAAAAATTTATAATGGAAAACCCTCTAAAAATATTACGAATCTTTCTATTGAAGAACGCTACAGCGTACTTATTTAATAGCATTATATATTAGTTCGTGCCATTTAGATAACGTAGATAATATTATATAATAATAACATATATACTCAGAAGCGTATTACCAGGGTAAAATATTTGAATACAGTTAGTCATTATTACAAAAAATGATCGAAATGACAAAAAAAAAATTATAGTAACGACAATAATTAAATTTGACGGTTAAAAAAAATGTATACCTAATAATAATAATATGTATAATATAATATAATATAATATAATGTATAATCTAACAATTATAATGTAAATATTTATAATTAACATATAATAATGTAATGTATAAAACAATAATTTTTAACCACGCTAATGATTACTAAATGGTAATAAATGTAACTAAATAAAATAAATCTAACACCTTCAAATGCCTGATAATTTTATTAAAATACTGTTTTGAGTTCAAGTGCAGTTCGACCACTACCTGCTTTTTACCCGGGAGCAGTTCGACCATTATCTTTTTTAACTCAAGTGTACTTCGACTAAAATAAGTGCAATTCCACCATACCCCAAAATTGTATGTTTGCCCCTTGCAAGTAAATGCGAAACTATTAGCTATAAAGAATATTTTACGAATCTTGCAAAATTCAATATTTAAATCTTATGTATGTTATAACAGAAAGTTTTGTGCATTTTAATTGCAAAGATGTTGCGGATTCTAGTTATTTTTGTCAAGTTTTATCGAAATTTAATATTACAATAACATTTAAAATTAAACATTTAACATTAAAATAATTTATTCTACAGTAACTTCTTTAATTTACTCAAGAGATATATATGGTGATTAAAGTAGTTAGTTCAATAATAAATCTTGTCTATGTAGTAATTACAATAAATTAGATTATTCAAAAATATATAAGAACGCTTTTTTTTGTACGTGACCGCACAATATTTCACGTGTAAATACAACATGACCAAAACGCATAAAAATCAACTAAAATTCCGCAAGCCAACTGCAACAACCAGGGGCGTAATTACGGGGGGGGATATGGGGGATAGATCCCCCTCATGAACTGTATTTATATATTGTCTTATACCTACAAATAGTTCAAATAAAAACTTATAAATTATCACGAAACTAAAAAAAAAAAAAAAAGTTTAGAAGTTGTGTATACTTAAATATTACCCGTATATAAATATTTACCCGTTAACGATAAGCATGATTTCAAAATAAATGGTCTGATTCATTTTAATTCTTATTTATTAATAAACATTGGGTGCCTTGCCACACACTGTACCTAATTATGAATAGATTATAGATGGTAAGTTAAGTAATCCGATAATGGGTAAAACCACCATTCCATAAACATAATATAATAATAAAAATGTAACTTCAAGATTTACATTTCGTAGAACGAATAATAGCCATAGATAGTAGGTACTAAGTATGTTTTCTTTAATACACCAAAACGCCAAAATGTTCTTTTAAACAACATTGAAAATAGTAATGAGGATCCTAAGGTTAAAACTTTAAAAAGATTATGTGCTACACGATGGATGCAGCGTTATGATGCGGTTACGGATTTCATTGAACTATTTGCATTTGTAGTTGAATCATTAGAAAATATTTGTAATTGGAATGATTCCACAGAAACGGAAGCTAATATACTATTAAAAGCTATTGATTTAGAATTTCTTATATCCTTACAAGTTATACAAGTAAATAGTAATTAATAAATATAATTTATTTTATTATATAATAAAATATTTTTTCAGTTGGTTTTTTTTTCTTTTGGTTTACCATTGTGTAAGTTGTTACAAAAAGAACAAATTGATTTGAGAGAAGCCTTGCTGAAGATATTATAAATGTATTAAAAAATATCAGATTAAATTGTGATACTGAATTCCACAAATTGTTTTTGCTAGCAAAAGTAAGTATACTAAAATAAAGTATATTATTATATGAAAAGAATTATGTTTATATTTGACATTTGTAATAGGAGATGTCAGTAATTATAGATATAGACTTGAGTACTATAAGAATATCTAAACGAAAAGTAAATCGAGCAAATCCAGATCCCAATTTAAGTGTTGAAGAATACCACAAAGTGTCAGTATTTATACCCTACCTGGACTTTTTTATACAACAACTAGGAGAAAGATTTTCAATCCATTCTAAAATTTTTAAAGGTACCTATATTAAATTAAATCATTATTATCATTTTTAATTAAATTGGTACCTAGTTTTTATAAAATTAAAAACAAATCACTGAAATAAAATATTCATATAATCAATCTATATTATTAAATTGAACCTTTAATGGTTTATTTATAATGTATATATGTCATATTTTATAGGATTTCAAAGTCTATTTTCCTATACATTAACTTCTGATGAGGAGGTATCATTTAGAAAATTACTTGAATTGTATTCACCTTCTTTGGATGTGAACAACTCAATTGCAGAATTGAAATTGTGGAAGATAAAACTTCAGCGAATAAACAATATTCCGAAACCTGCAATTGAAGCATTACATGTGTGTAATGCCAATATTTATCCAAATTTGCATTTTATTTTAAAAATACTATGCACATTTCCTGTTTCTACAAGTACGCCTGAAAGAATGTGTTCCAGTCTTAAAAGAATAAAAACGTATCTTGGAAACAGTATGTCCGAGGTTAGTAATTATAATAGCTGTGCACTTGTGCTTAATAAAATACATTTTCATAATATCTAATGAGAAAAATGTTTTAATTTTTTTTGTATAAAAGACTTAATGGTCTGGCAATGTTGGCAATTCATAATGATATTACATTTTCAAATGAAGAGGTCATTGATGAACTTGCCAAAAAGCCTAGGAATCTGGACATAATATTGTAAAATATTAAAACATTTTAAAACATATTTGTAAATGTATAATGTTATGTAATATAGAATGATTATATTTACATGTGTTGAGTTATTAAATTATACAAGATATAGATAAGGGGTGTGTGGGCCGTGGGGGCAAAGGCCCCCACAAGTTTATCCAACAAATTTATTTTGATCCCCCCCCCAACAAACATTCTCAGTTACGCCACTGAATACGTATAAAGTACTTATATTTTTAACAAGATTATATCTTGAAAACCTAATTGTCCGTGATATAATTAAATAAATTAAATTCAAAAAAATAAATTTTATTTCCTACCCGTCAAAACGTAACTTTTAATATATTTGCTGGCTACATTGAGTAATTACTCTATGACCAGCTGGCATGCTTGTAACCATTACGAATCACACTCTCGTTGGATACAAAAATAGGCACAACACTTTCTTGCATTGAATACGGACATTGATAGTTTACAGCCATCTGAATTCGAGAATTCGATACAAAATAATATTATCGTTTATCAAATCAGACTTGGATAATATAATTATTTTCCGTTACCACAATCAAAATAATATATGCGTGAGTATAGAATTTAGTGAAGTTATTAGTTACTTAATTAACTACTACGTAGCCATGGTGTATGGTCAATGAAGAAATCATTTTTCGGTTGAAAAATATTAGATACATCCATTTTATTGATCAGTGATCCACGGTAAAAATTGGTTTGTTCATTTGTGATTGATATATATTGTATCTTATAAAACATATTTTCATCAACGATCAACAATCTCAGTCGTACAAAAGACTGCTGTCAAGTACAGATTACAGTTGAAAGGTATTATTTAATATCATTGTTTTCTAATTAAAATATATTTTTTTAAATTGTTTTAATGATAACTATTGCTAAAGCGTATAGTTGTGCATGATGTTGTTTTAAAACTAGATATTTTACTTCACGTATGAAGTAATTTTATTAGACCTATTAGTTTTATTCTAAGATTTGTTTAATTTATTCAATAGTAAAGTTTTGCCTCCAGAGTCGTTTTATATTCATCCATCTACTGTTAAATTAAATTACACAGAATTTAATTTATAAATAATTATATTAAGGTTATAAATAATATTTTTTTGCGAGACTAATTATATAATTAAATCAATTATAAGTAACTAGTAATTATTTTTAAAACAACATTTTTGCCCCTCAAATTTTGGCCTTACCTATCCCCCAAATTGATGATTAATAAATAGTAATTACTTAATTTAACTATAGATCCCCTGTATTAATTTATGTTACTTATAAAAAAATTGTATTTTCAGAAATATTTATTTTTTCAATTAATAACAACTATGGAAGCTAGTCTTAAACCAATAGTAAGTATTAAATGTTGTATAATTTAAAATATTTTAAATTCGATGTAATTATTAATAACAATAATCATACATACAACAATTATTGAATCTTACTAAAAATGTGTATTATATATTTATAAATATATGTCTAAGTTTATAAATACAATTTATTGTACTGTTGTATATTTTTTTTTAAGATATGTTTCATTTTATTAAATTAATCTTATTTTTAGAAAATATTTAGAATTATTTTTTTAAACGATTTTACTTTAGGAAATATTTAATTTGGTACGATCAATTGTCCAAAATGTAAATATTAACAATTTTGATGAAATGGCACATACAATTATTTCAATACCACTGAAAACAATTTATATATTTGAAAACATAGTGGATATAATTTATTTTCGGGTATATAAATATTATTAATAATTATAATAGTTATTAAATTTGTTGTTTTACTTATCTAGGCTTTAAATAGACCCGATTTTACAGTTTTATATGCAAAGTTATGTGCATACATGGCCAATCATGCTGCATTTAACAAACTTCACGATTCTAAAACTACTTTTCAGAAAGTTTTAGCACAAAAAATCTTTGATATGTTTACCTCATATTATACTCGTACTCCTCAGAACGAAGTACATAAATTAAAAAAAAATTTTATGAACAGTAATATGGTAACTAGTTATAATTTATTAATATAATAATAGTATTTTTGTGATTATATTAGATTTTATAATATAACCTATAATTATTAGTCTTAAGTCATTTCAAGCTTAAGATAAATCTCAGTACTGATGCTTGCATAGTTAATTTTTATTTATAAATAAACTGATTTGTATCATTTTAAATCAAGACTTATTCATACATAATATGATTTAGGTACCCTAATGTATATTATATAATTAACAATAATAGCTAATAATTAAACTGACTTGAGTTGAATTGCTCAACCAAACTACTAAAACTTAACCATTCTTATTTGTCTTTGACTAAAACCATATTATATTCAAATACATTTTCCACCAATTGATAATATAGGTTTTTTAATTTAATTATCAAATAATATAAATATTTTATATATGTTATAGACCCCATCTTTTTTCAAGAATATATTGAATAGTTTTCATTTCCAATATTATAAAAGGTCTTTAGCCCATTGCAAGTATGTTTTCAAGTAAAATTAATTAATAATTTATATATATTGTACGAAATAATATTTTTATAGATTTATCGGTGAATTATTCAAACAAGGGGCTTTTACCGAAAAAAATATATTGTCGTTCATTCACGAATTAATGAAAGTAAAAGATATTCTGAATATTCATTGCATATGTATAATATTACAAATATCAGGACAAAAATTATCAAAAGTAATAACCAAAATAGTAAAGTACCTATTAGGAAATTATAGAATAAATAATCTCTTATTTCATTTTTTTAGACTCATAATTTGGACGGTATAGTACATCATATTTTATTATTTAAAAATAAAAACCCTGTCCTCATAAAAATGTTACCAACTCTTCAGTCTTTGATATTCAAAATACAAAACTTGCATTTAAAATGTTGGATACATGAAGGTAATAATGTCAATTTTCAAATTATACTGTATAAATATTATTATTCATTAAAAATGTACTATTAAGTTACTATATTATGCATTTATTTTAACAAATTTTTTTAAGATTTAGTTAGGTTTTATAATACGTTATGTATAATTATAATTTTTTTTTTTTTTTTTGTTATAATATATTTAACAATTTGAATTTTAAAATTTTAAGTTATGCATTTTATTTATGTTTAGCAGTTATACAAAGTTGTAACATTACTTTCAAATTGTATATTAGAAAATAGGATAAAATTATTTTGTTATTTTGTATTAGTATAAATTTTTATGCAGTAATAAATTATTGCTTTTAAAAATTTTTCTTAACAATGATCAGTTTGCAATAATGATTTCTTCAAATTTTCATAACGAAGACATCAAAATCGTATTTTATTAAATTAAATAAATAATATACAAGATAGATACATGATATCTTCTGAACAGCTTTAATTTAATATATTTTTGATTGAATCTAAATAACATAATTTATTAACTATTTAATAACTAATTTTTTACAGAACCTCTTAAGTTAATTGAAGACAATGAACACTATATTTCCTTTGAAAATTTGCCGGAGGAATTAAAAAAACTATATGATCTTAAATCATATACAGTAATGGCCCAATGTATTATTGATGAATGTATGGCTGTCCTTAACGGTTTTGACAAGATAAATATCAATGTATGTAGTAGGTTTATTTATTTGATTATCAGTATTTTAAATATAAAAAATAATAAAATAAGAAGAAGAATACATTTTGATTATTGTAATACTATTAGATAATTGTTATGAAGAAGAATAATAAATAATTATTCCACATTTTTTATAACTCATCAAACAAATCTACTAAAACATCCTAGATATCGATCAGCAGAAACTTGAAATTTGAAATATCTATTTCGTACTAATATTAAACTTTTTTTTTTACATAAATATCTTAAAATATATAATTAACCATCAAAGCTTATATTATTATACATCATAATACCAATAACTTTTTGATTACACCTTATGTTTATTTATTTAAAAATATTTACAGGAAATAGTACATTCGTTAAAATATATCAACTCGTGGATACATTACGATCAAGTGTCATTCGTTGCTTCTATGATACTTATAACACTAAATGAAGGCCAAAGTATTCGCCATAAGGCTGGTATACTTTTAAACTTATTTATTAAGAAAGGCTTGTTATCAATTGGTTCGGTTTTATCGGGGTAAATACAATAATATAAATTTTCTGTATTGTACATTTTATTAATTATTATTTTATTTTTATTTCATATATTAGAATTGACAAAATAATGGATGACTCAGAATTGAAAATAGAACTTCCAAGATTATCAGATTTATTATTTGACATCACTAGTAGGATTACATATCTGACATAAATTCAGCTTAATTTTGTATAACTTAATTTATACTGTTTTGTATTGTATATTCTAATTGCTTTTTACTTGAATTACTTTTTATTTTAATCGAGGTTTTGTCCAAAATTTTTTTTGAGTTATAATACAATTTTCGTTGGCCTAAATGTGAAATAAATTATTATTGTTAAATAATCCATATTTTAGTCATTACTAATCTTTATTTTGCATTTTTTGAATACTTTTGGCAAAATAATCAAAAATATTCAAGTGCTTACATAAACAATAAATTGAATTATTAATTTTTTTTTTTTTTTGAGATTTCACATGTCTCGGTATTTATCATTTTTGTTGCTTGTATCTCATAGGCATTCTTGGCTGCGATAAATTTCTATAAACTTAATCACAACAGTCGATCAAACATGATTAAATTTGCCATCGTTTTTATTTTATTAGTTAACTACTCAATCTAAAAAAGTAAAAAAATAAAAGCACAAGTTTAAATTAAGATATATATTTAAAAAACTACAAAATAAGAATATATCATAATAATCGACATGGACGGATTCATACAAGTTTCGAATGTTTGATAAAAATAAACGCCCAAGATATATGAAAAACTATGTACATTTGTTGATAGTTTTAGAAGCCAATTATCGTACCAAATAATCTCTACACGTGTGAACAAAAAAAGCAGAGCTTATCGCTTTCAAAAGTCACCATGCATTCTCGAAAACCGCGTGAGTTATTATCATAGTGTAAATAATCATGATATGACTCTCGAACAAAAAATCTTGTATTCGATAATCGCATGGAAGATGCTCGAATGGTAGAATGGTAGGTACGATAAATGAGAAACTCTTTCCGTGTAAATCCGTTTCGACTTATTAAAGTATTAACATTTTTAAAATATAAATAATAGTACACCAGATAAGAATAGTAATAATTTTATAATCGACTAATTTACTTTATAAACTGATATACCTACCTACATATTGTAAAATTATAAAAACCTATTTGATAATAGAAACTAAATTGATATTCGGCAGGTCCGTCGACGGGTGGAAGAATAATAACATATATCAACTGAAATTTTTTTTTTAATACAAAACTATATGAAATCTTGGAGTACTGAGAAATCAAATGTGCTCTACTCTGTGCTTGGAAATAATATATGATAGATTTTATTCAACCATAATTACCTTGACTTATATCTCTTCTAGTTTTTTTTTATCCACGAATAGATCAACTATAAAGATATAATACTAGTTAACAAGCTTTTCTTCCTATAACTAGACAATTGTATAATTATATAAATTAAATTCTAATTCATTTATGTATACATTTTTATTAATAATATAAATTAAGTTAATTACAATTCATTTAAATTTAAAAAATAATATAAGTATTTATGCTTTTCATTGCGACATTAAACTTTTTGTAATTATTATAAAGATTAATTATCACAAAAACAAATCAATTAGGTAAATAATAAATCCTTATCTAAATATATTCTAAATGTATAATTCAATTTAAATAGTAAACAGTATGTCCGAGGTTAGTAATTATAATAGCTGTGAACTTGTGCTTAATAAAATACATTACATGTGTTGAGTTATTAAATTATACAAAATATAGATAAGGGGTGTGTGGGCCGTGGGGGCAAAGGCCCCCCACAAGTTTACCCTACAAATTTATTTTGATCCCCCCCCCCATCAAACATTCTCAGTTACGCCACTGGCAACAACCCGCGAACTACATTGTACACGCAGTGTTGAAATATTATTATTATAAACATATATATCTACATATTAATTATTTATGTCGCATCTACGGACGTTGGTGACAAATCCAATAACAGCCGCAAATTACACGCGCTCGCGCCATCAAAGGCAATACTATCCAAATGCCACGCAGTGTATATAACAAATTATAGCAACGTAAATCGTATACTGATTGACCAGTACTCGAGCGTCAACGGGGGAGGACTTCGTGTGGACTCTGCAGGACTATTCGCGGAAATGCATCGTCGATCAAAACTATCGACTTCGAATAGTATAACAAATCGTACAGGTATACCACTAAACACGCTACAGAATGTCGTCCTACAAGTGCTTACGGATTTCGATGTCTCCAGCATAGTATTATACATATTACATATGTCAAAATAAATCTGACATCGGATTCCGTTTTTATGAGTAGCTTACGATTTATTCGCTCGGGTCGTGGTAATTCTCAAACCAATGAAACGAGTAGAAATATACAATTGATTTGATTCAGACATAGTCGTGCTCACGGGTGCATAAACCTAGACTTCATCTGCTCTTTCTGAAATGCCAGATTCTTTTAATGATGTTTATATACGGTTTTAAATTTATTAACACACAATTTTTTTTATCGTGTTTATTTTTCGGCGTGATTGCGATACGATTATAAGGTTAATAAATTATCTATTAATTGTGATAATATTTTGCGTTTAAAATTTTTGGCGCTGACAACGGTGGCAAACAACTATATAGTCGAAAGTGTTCCTTAGTGCTGCATCTAACCTCTGGGCACGCCTATGAATTTAAACAGGCGATTGTAAACTCCGCCAGTTTTTTTTATGTTTTGCCTGTGAATCCTTTCATAGACATCAAAAAAATTCATTTTATGAAAGTCAACCGAATGTTCATATTTTTAGTAAAGTTTTTACAGAAGTTCAGTGTTACAGGATGCTATAAATATGTACATTAATGAATACAAGACTTAGAATATTTACAAATTGTATCACATCATTTTAGTTTACACACATGGTATAACTATATATTTTTGGATTATTAGATAAGGTTAGGTTATAACGATTATTTATTATAATTTTTTTACTATAATTTAAATATTTTACGTGAACGATATGATATTATATTATATTATAATTTTCTTTTAATAATATATCATATTAATTTTATACTACTACATGATTTTCTTCACTGGCGTAGTTTATATGAACTCAATTTTACCTGATTTTTTTCAGTGACAGAGTTTACAAGAACCCAATTTTACCTGTTTTTTTTTCTGGTTTACATGCACCCATTAAAACATCTACGCACAGCAACACCGCGAGAGGTATTGCACGGTTAATAAAACCTTTCGGCAAACCCTGTGTATACATAACACACGCAGATATGTATAACTCAATATGTATACAGCTCGGATAGCTGTTGATTGTCGTCGTGCGTTCTATTAGCATACGCGCTTAAATCAAAAACAATTATTATTATTTCACTTTACTCGTAATATGAGTATACATATTATGTACGTGCATATTGCACCGCGTACTATATACTTTTAATGGAATATTCACGCGCTCGTGCATATATTACATGAATATTACTATATATATAAATATATGCATGCATATTATATTGCCCGCTAATTTCCATATTTACGACGGAATTTGCATGCCTACATAGTACTAACATCGCCTACATAGTATAAGTTTACCTATATATATATATATATATATATATATACATATATGCTTCAACATATATTATATGCAGTCGACCCGTACGTAGGTACCTATATATATATATAACCCCTCCGCTTCTACACGCGACCCTCAGCCGATGGGAGCGAGAATTTAATTGATGGTGCAGGGTCGTAGCTCGAGGCGATTTCCAAAGCACTACACTGCTCTATATGTGTAATAACAAATGCTCGGATTTGGAAAAAATTAAGTAGAGAAACTCATTAAAAACTGCGTCCCAAGAGCAAAATTACTTAACAGAGATCCGTACACACCACCTTCACCTAAAATGACATACTGACCTATGATATATACACAAAATTTCACGTTATGCCTCAATAGTATAGGCCTTCTCTATACATCGAAAATATTTAAAATTAAGGCATTTTAAAATTAAATGCACGGTAGACCATTATTTAAACCATTCTGACACTGCAGTCACTACCACGTTACCTGAATGAAGGATTCTAAATTTAAGCTGCACATATTTATAGTATCCATAGACCTTATATTTTTACGCATAATTTGTTTTTCGTATAACATTGAACAAATAATTGGTTGCAAACTGTAATGTTTAGTTATTTCTTATACATAAAAACATATTTAAATTATTAATCATGTGCGACATTGTATCGATGTTGACATAAGACCATGAATGACTGAAGACATTAATAATAATAATAGTACAAACATAATAATTAACAAAATTTAAATATAAGTTTTCTCAAACAGTATATATTACAAAAAACAGAAGTTAGATTTATTATTAACAAAATGAATTAGTTATTAACAAAAAAAAATTAAATACAATAAATATTATCTTAAACATAAAAATTAATAAACAAATAATACTACTTTTATGAATATAATAATTTTGTAAATTCTAATAAAGTACTTAGTCCAACGTTTTTATTAATCCCTCTATTAAAATATAGTTTAAATAAAATGATCTATTTTATTGCCCAGATAAATGTGTGTGTATTTTAATCTTTATCTAAGTAAAAAAATTATATCTTATTTTATGTTATCTAGATAAATGTTGAACGAATTATCAGTTATCTTTTCCCAACATTGATGCCAACTACTTTTATCAAAGTTATTTTTCCTCCTGTTGGGTTTGAAGATTATAAACTCTCTTACAGCGAAAACTCAGCAGCTGCAAGTCAATAAGCGTAAAAGTGTAATTTTTGTAATATTTGGTATAATTTATAAAGAAATGCTCGTTTACTTGGCTCTTGATAATAACATTTTAGGTACACACATTTTTATTATTTTCTAGTTGTGCAAAAACATACCTTTCTAGATGTAGTAGTGCAAGTGCCACATTTGCACCACCCAATTTATGCTGATCCTACTCATAAATATCAAAAAAAATTAATAACTAATTGGTTGCAGCACGAACAAAATATAAAACTTTAATATTTTATACCTTCCTTTAACGAGCCTATTCGGTAGGATTCATTATTTTTTCGAAGAAATAAACGACAACAACAATAACATTTAAATAATATAAAAATATATACGTGTTCTACCACTTTGAATTTTGGCTGAGATTAATTTTAAGTGTCTACGGGTGCACATTAACATCAATCAAATACCTATTGTTACCATTTTATTATGTTTTATTTTCATACATATAAAAAATTTATCAATAAAAACTAAAAAAATATTATTTAAATATTAAATACTATTAATAAAATATTTTGTAAACACGATGTTAACATTGTGAACATATTTCCTAAATGATACCCTTTATTAAATATAAGCAGGACCCTAAACTAATCTTGTAATTGTAAGTATTTAACATGATAAGTTTCCTAGTACAATACACATAAAATATATATTTGTTGTAAAATCAGAAATAAAAATTCCACATAAGTATCGGTAACATTTAAAATGTTTCTAAAATTTTACTTGTACCAACTCTTACATATCAACTGGAATTAAAATGATACGTATGATTATCAAACAATTAAAAAATAATAATAATTTTTTTTAATTTGTTTCTAACTTTTCTAGTCTAACTGGTTGTATTCATACAATCACTCAATATTAATTATGAAGTTTACTTTCGATATTTTATTATTACTTAAAATTTTCAAATAAAAAATTGATTGGTATTACTTTTGAAAAAAAAACTGTGAAACAATTATTTAAATATTCGTTGACATCGAGTGTACACCCACAAGTTAAACATCAATAAACGTGTGTACAACAACTATATATTTTAAGCCCACTTAAACCGAACGATTAGCTCACAAGCGCAACTAAAATGTTGAGCTCACCAGCTTTACAGAAATCTTTAATAAAATATTATATTCTGTTTTTGCATATTATATAAAAAAGATCTTGTTGTTTATAATTAACTATTTCAAATACTGTAAAAATCACTATGGGATCGGTCAACAACCGCTTTTTTCATCTAACTATAAAAACGATAGTATAAATATAAATATCTAGTTTTAGAATAGGTGTATTTAAAAAAAAAAAAAAAAAAAAAAGAACTGGTATATTGTCATTATGCTGAAAGATAGCTACGACTCGTTGGGTACAAGATCGTTGCCTGAATCCGATCGATCTACGCTGTCACGAGACTGCGACGTCAAAAATAACACGTGGCGAGAAAATGAGTCTCACAGTCAAGTCTCGGATCGGGAAACACTTCCGGTTACGTTTTCAGACGTGTCATTTTTCCGTGACTCGGACGCCGAAGACATCGATTCGCGCGTATTTCAACGTACCCTGGCCATAATCAAACCGGAAGTGGCTCGACTCATGTACAAAATTGAAAATATAATGGCTCGAAACGGGTTCATCATAATAACGGTTTGCATTATAATTATCATTACAATCGTACACTGTACTACGCTCGTCGAACCTTCGAAAAAATGATATAAACATATAAATGAAAATAAGGCTCAGTTTGCGCACGAAAATTAACAACTTAACACCACTATTCGGTGTGCACAGGGTGGCTGTCCCACGGAAAGAATATTAAAGCTGGTACCTACTATTTATATGTGATGCACCTACACACAAATCAATGAAGATAATAAAAATATGCACCGTTGGGGAAGCGTCTCGGGAGTGCTAAGCACCTCTGATTTCAAAATTAGCATTATCAAGTTTTCTCATGTTTATTTACATTTAATTAGTTATTACAAATTGTAGATATAAAAATGAAGTTTTTATTATATAATTTATAAATTTAAAATTTAAAAACTGATCATGTGATGGAACTACAGAAGGGCCATACGTTATACGTGCAATAAAAATATAAAATTAAAATGAACAATTTTAATTTAGAAAAATATTTAATAATTGTAACTAAATGTTTGTAATTGTTAAACGAATGCTGTACGAGTTACGGGTGTCCATAAACATAAAATAACATGAAAAAGATAAAAGCACTTCAGCACCCTCAGTTATTTAATTAAAATTGCACCCCTAATAATGAAATTTCGTTTTTTTATACGAGACTCACGGGGACTAGGAATACAAATATAGATAGGGAGTAACATATTTTCGGGGAGTCTTCCTAGGTCTTGACCCCTCCCCTCCTAGGAAAAAAAGGTTCAAAAGCCATAAATAACTTGCCACAAAGATACAGAAAAAAAAAACGGAAATTTTTATGAAATGGTTAAATAATTTATTTTTTAAAAAAATTTAAAACCCCCCCATACAAAAAATTTTAAAATACGGCACTATTGATGAGCACATGTTACAATTAAATGTTTATGTTTTGGTATAAAAAATATGTAGGTAATGCAACTTGACCTCATTATTTTCGACAAATTTGAAGGTAGCCGTCTTGCAAGACTTATTTATCTGAGCATGCGCAATGTGTCCGTGTAGAACGTTTCTTAATATTTTCTTGAAGCTTACCGAAAATCAGTGGAGGGTTCGATGTGCGCCGAGTAGATATAGAAAAACTGTGCACAATAAAGTTGTTGCTCCGGCCGATGGAGCGCGTCGCGAGAACGGCCGACCAGGATTACGTACAACACCAAGCTTTGTTGTTCATTCATGTCACGCGATACGCGACGGGCATTGCTTGACTTGGTAAAATTAAAGAAGGGGGACTGTTTGCTTTAAAAAAAAAAGAGCGTCCCCAAAACTTGTTAAGTGTTATAATCATAATATAATAATAGTAGGGGGACGCTGAAATGTCTGAAAATTAGTTAGGGTACTCCGTTCCCTTGCGTCCCCCCTCAAGTAACTCAAACACTGGCGACAGTCATAAAAGGGTTTGAAATCGGCAATTGGTAATATTTGATTTTTATTTTTTTCCCCCGGTCCGCGTTACCACAGAAGGACGTGTTGCGCTTGACCCGTGAACAGGCGGCCGAGTTTTACTGTGACCACGGGTCCGAGTTGTACTTCCCGCGACTGGTCGATCACATGTCCGGTGGCCCTATTGCCGTGTACGTGCTGGCCAAAAGGGACTGCGTGCAGGAATGGCGGCGGTTGATCGGTCCCGCGAACGTGTGCACCGCCAAACAACGTTTCCCCTTCAGCCTGCGGGCTGTGTACGGCACGGAATCGACTGCGGCTCCGGTGGCGAATGCGTTCCACGGCAGTGACTCGCCGACCGCGGCCAAACGCGAAATACGGTTCTTCTTCCCAAACAGTAAGCTCGCTACTGCTGCACCACCCCTGTGCAGCGGCCGATCCACGGTTAGTGGGCCAGTCTATTTCAAAAGGACATTTATCGGGGATAAAACTGTATAATAATCGTATAACTTGTAACCAAAAAAAAAAAAAACGCAATGCGACATATAACGTGCGTTCTAAGTTTATCCGTAATGATCATTAAAAACATTAATATTTTATTTTATCGAAGATTCCATCTTACACGAGGTCCGGCCAGGCCCGCAATGATTTGTTTGGCCACCAATGTTACACACATTTGGCACCTCCACCTCCTAAATTTCACATCTGAGCACTGCCCAGATTTTTGTTAAACTTCAAAAATGTTATTAAAATTATTTTTAGTTGTTGTTTAAAAGGTGTTTTTTTATATTATATTTACAATAAATAATTTATCATTATACTAGGAATCAATATGATAACTTATACTGAAATTTTATTTATAAAGCCGCCCTTGATTTTTGAACACCTTGCCAGTGGCGTAGCGTGGGTTTCGGCTGCCCGGGGCGAAGGCCAATTTTGCCGCCTTTTTAATTAGATATTTCAATTTAATGTATACTACACATTATATCCATTAATTTTAGATAACTTTTTGGCAAAAATAGTCATCATTATTTTATATACAAATGTATTTCAACTGTACAATATTAAATTGTGTCCTTACACTTGGCAATGTATCTTGTCAGATACTACTCTAATAATGCATAATGCATTGGGCAATGTATCCCTCAATATACAACTTGTAAGTCAAAAACTATAAGTTATAAAAAAAATTTGACAGCATTTTTGAATTCAGCAGCCTCAAATTAGTCAGAAACATCTTACATTATAATTTTTAGGTATCTCTTTGTATGTTTGCCAATTTAAGGGTTAAATTATACAGGTTAGATTTTAAATAAAAAAATTTACAAAAAATACATATTATACACTTATTTTAACCCTTGATATAACAAGTACAAAGACATTATTTAACCATGCGATAGTGTTAATCCGGGCCTGGGTAATAGTACCTACTTATACTTATCATAACTATCTTATTACGATAAGATGTCCCACTTTCTTTTACTCTTTTCATTTTTGATGTTAAAAAAAAAAAAATTATAATGATAAAAGTCACAAAAAAAAACTATTGAACATTTCAAAAACTAGGTATATTTTACACCACATCTATCTATCTATAGGCAAAAATCTGAAAACCGTAAATATTTGTTCGTTACCCTGGGTATACGAGTGTAAAACTCGTACATGGCCCGATTTTAATAAATTTAAGCTTGAACCATACATCAGACAGTCCAACATACGATTACATAAATAAAATATTTAATACTCACATAGTTGAATGTAGGTAAACGTAGAGGAAAATTCAAATCTTCACAAAGTTATCCGATAATTTCATAACCACTACACGTACTTATTTGCACAAAAATCACAGTTACGAAACAGGGTGGAACTAAACAACTGAAGTTCCATAAATAAAATTTTCTTTGAATTGTCAAAGCATAACGTACTTTCTTAAAGAGACATAATAAACAATAATGAACTTAATATATATATATATATATATATAATAAAAATCATTCTCGTTGATTATTTAGTCAAAAAATCCAACCACAAAATAAAATACAGGGAATCCCCACAAGTCAGTATAAACAGTGTAGACATTTGCTAAAATATCGTTCATAGAAAGGGGATTCCCGAATTCGACACAGAATAAGTAATGAAAAATTCCGTGCTCTTTTCAATCGGTCCGAATTTATAGTTGTGTTAAAAATATAAAATGATTCAAATATTTATACAAAATATAATGTATTATTTACTGTGAAATTTTGACGCCGCCCCCTGCCAACACTACGCTACGCCACTGCACCTTGAACATCCGGTTAACATGGTCCTAAGTATGGCATAAGGATATAAAATTGTATAGCCTTATTCAATTGTTTTATTTGTTCTTAACATTTAAACCTAACCAACATTGATGGTTAAATTCTTTTTTCGTGTATACACATTTTGGAAAAAAAAAAATTGGCAACTGTACATATAATCAAAGAAATAATTACATGTTAAACAATATAGGTACTGAATTTAATATCATATCAACCTTCCAATTATGTAAAGTATTGAATTTTGAATTAGAAATATTAACTAAAAAAAAATATGCACATTACAGGTGAAGTAGATGAAGAAATTGATGACTCTGACTCAATGCGATTCATTCATGATATCATGATGCCTACCATCTCCAATGGTCTAAATGAAATGTTTAAAATCCTTCCTAATGATCCAGTAAGATGGTTTGGCAATTGGTTGTTAACTAGACATAGCTAAATGATCATGATTTATGTCTTATATAGCATCACATTGAAACATTTTCAAACATAAAATTAATTATTTAATAAACAATTAATTCATTAATTAAATACATTCTACACACAGACATAAACTTATATAATAATCTTCAAAACAAGAAATAATACATTTTCGATAATAAGATGATCAAAGATTACAATTCAAATTTGACTTCACATACAATAAAATAAAAAAATTTCCAAATAAAATAATTCCGAATGCATGTACTCTATAAATCCTATTTATAATACTCTAACCATTTAGAATCATTACATAAACTTCACAATTTAAAAAAAAAATTTGTGAGTTTAATTTAAAATAAGCAATGATATAAAGTTTTTTATATCATTTATTTATATTGTTATCATTTTATTTATATTGTCTTTCAAATAGTTAAATGAACTCTTTAATTTCAAGTAAGGCATATTTAAATGATTGTAAATATTTACTAAGTTCAATATTTAAATCAAGAATACTCAAGATTTAATGATATAAATTACAAGTCATAAGTATTAATACTGATCTATGACAAATTACTGTTATAAAACAGCCAATTTTATAATAATAATATTGCAATTTTATTAATATAACAATCTAAGAAAGACATACCAATAAAAATTAAATTAAAATAGTATTAATGGCATTAAAAAATAAAAACAAAACTGTTATTTTTGGAGTTTTATTGAATAATCAAATATTGTACATAATTGTCCATCTGAAGTCATAGTACACACGGAAATGGAGGAGTAGTATCAGAGCTTACAACTTGAGCTTGGTTCTTCTCCAATGACGCCTCTTGGCATTATATCTGAAAGGTAAATTAATGTATTATGTAACTTGTAGTCATTTAAACATAAAATGCCTAAAATATAAATTCTATAAAATTATGCATCAAAAAAAAATAGGAAAAAAATCCAATTTTATGCTTTCTTAACACGTTGACTGCCATACAGCCTTAGTTGTTTATTTCTATAATGCTGTATATATATTCTGGGTAACATTCATAAAATGTACCAAGATATTATTAGAACCAATAAGCCTATAAATATGATTCCAATATCAATTGGTTTATTTTTCTTTGGAGATTATTAATAAATTATAATAATAGTACGACCACCAGCCTTATGGCGCTAATATAATTCGTGGTTTTATTAGACGCCATATGGCCGCCGGCATACTAATATCAAATGGTCCACTGTTATTAAGTTTTTTTATATGGTAAAAATAAGTTCTTAACCATAACAGTTTAAAATCAGTAACAAAAGTGTTGTGCAGAAACTTTTAGATGACAACTTCAGTTCTTTAAGTGTAGTTGATGACTATATTGATTCAAGAGATACAACTTTGTGTAAGAAATGTCATGTGTATACGTGTGTGAATTGTTTTATGAAAAATCATAAAAATTAAAATAAAAAAAAAATAATTAAGCAAATAACAAACATAATTTAAGTTAAAATAATTTTAAGTTTTAATTAATAAAAAAAAGGATTAATATTTTAATTTTTATAAAACAGTAGAAATTTATTTTAAATATATTGTTTGAAAAGGTACTGTAATTTTTTTTTTTTTTATATAAACTATGATTTTTAAAGATCTAAGTATTTATTAAGTTTTATTAAAAATAAAAATGTATTGTGGAAGTTTTGAGTAAAATATATTATTCAATTTGATATTCAGTTAGATTAACAAAAATTATAACTAAAAAATATTTTATATGGGTATGCAATATACCAATAGAATGACTACTTCTTCCACTGTCACAGTTTGAATTTAATAGGTATAACTACAGCGCCAACATATTTACTATGATTCCAAAATGTAGGGAATTTACGGCTGCCCTCGGTCATATGGATACCAACGAACAATATGGTGCGGTAGCCGGCGGCCTATAAATTATCAAAACATAATTATTTTTGTGGCCATATGGCAGTCAACGTGTTAAGCAAAAAAAAACCATAGTGCCATAACAATCAATGCATTTTCCATAGAAACTACCATGCGAAAGAGATTACAGAACTGAATACTATATAAGCTGAATAACTAAAGCCATAAATTATCTGCTGAATAAAATATAAAATTACTTTATATTAATAAAGTATTTATTAAACAATTTAAAAATTGTTAAAATAAGTCATACGAAAAGTTATGAAAATCAATAAATTAATATGATAAAGAGTTTTATCCAATACAATAAGACTCAAAAAACCATAAATTACAGCCACTCTCAAGAATTTCAACATATCATTTTATATTATAGTAAATGTTGATAATACTGATACCGAAACAATAGAACAGATACTTAATCTAGAATTGTCTTGCACTAACTAAGATTAAAAACTGTATATGAAACATAAGCGAATAGACTGATATCAATGATTAGTGACCACCATTGTTATCATTAACAGACCAAATAAACTACAAATATTCGACAATAAACCATCTATTATGAAAAAAAATAAAATGAATGACACGAAAGCAATCGAGTAAAACCTTTTAATTCGTGGACAAAAAACCACTGCTAACAAACATTAAATCGCTGCTTCAGTTCCAAGTGAATTACAACAATATACAACATTTAAATTATACCTGATGGTGTTGCCCGTTCTCATCCTGATCCACTGAGGAATGGGACGATTCTGTTTCATCTTTTTGGCAAGCTTCTGCTTGATCTTGAACGTCTTTTTCGACGACTGCAAACAACAAACACACGTGATAAAAAATGTTAACGTTGGAATTAGAATGTCCCTAAGGCGAGATGAGATTTCTACGCAATGCTCAACATCTCAGACGTTTGGCCGACCGTTCGTTGTTGCATATGGAAACTTTGAATAAATAAATAATTTGCAAACTTACCATGATGACGGAGAGACGTTGGAAACGTTGAATCCAAATTGCCTTTGGACTCCCCCGACGTAATGTGAAATACGAAGATCGAATACGTGATATTGCAGGTTATGTTTCTGCATCTTCGTAGACGACAGTATCGACGGTGCACCGCGTGTGTAAAAACCTGTGCGTGCAGTTGGCAACACCGTACGTCATCGCCCCTCTCGTGTTTCCGCGGGAATGTCGTAAAGGTATAACGGCCAATTAAACACATTTTTGTCTTCAATATTCAATTTGACTAACGTTTTTACATTCAGTTTCATCTTCATCGATCATGAGTCCTTGTTGAATAAGTTAAACGCAATATTTTTCTGTTCACTCTACGTTTCCATCATGCAGTCGACTTCAAAAGTGTCATTAAAAATCACGTCTGATTCGTCGGTACTCTCGGTATAGGTGCACCTTGGGCATCACAAGTGCAAAAAAAAGAGACGGAAAAATTAACGTGTCTTGTGGATTAAAAATTATTTAAAAATTCAATTTTATGAAATTATAAATGATTTGCAACTTGATGAAGTGGTAATATTTATAAAAATGTTGTCGTAAACTTTTTATTTTCAGTTTAAAATCCATGTTAAATTATTGTACACCGATTGCTGTGTTTTAGCATTTTTAAAATAAAATAATACGAGTATAACATTATAAATATCGAATGGCTCCCTCCTTAAGTTCTTCATGCGTAATTTATTTTTTTCTCTTTGAATTTATACATAAGAAAGAACAATTCATTCCCAAGTAGTGACAATTAAACCACCGATACTACAAATACAATTGTTTCTATGATTATTAATAAAAGCTAGTTTGAATTTTTTTAACTTATAACCCTTGATATACATTTCCAGTCTCATCAGTCATTATTTTATCTAATATTGAAAAAATAGTTGACCATTTCTCAGCTATTTGTAAAATAGTATTACTAAATTATCACTATTGGTGTGATAATGTATATTTTTTTTAATTAATTTTCAAAACAAGTAATTAATGAAATTGTTATACCTTTGCGTTTTTAATATTTCTTATTTGATAAATAAAACAAATTTTAAAAGGGAAAACTATGTATTTTTAATGCAATCTTTGTGTCTTGTACCATAGATGTATTTTTAAGGCATTTTATTGTGGATGATAACCATATTAAGTTGATATTCCAAGTTAAAAA